TTTTTTTTTTTTTTGAGACGGAGTCTCGCTCTGTCACCCAGACTGGAGTGCAGTGGTGCGATCTCGGCTCACTGGTAGCTCTGCCTCCTGGGTTCACGCCATTCTCCTGCCTCAGCCTCTCCAGTACCTGGGACTACAGGCGCCCGCCACCTCGCCCGGCTAATTTTTTTTTGTATTTTTAGTACAGACGGGGTTTCACCGTGTTAGCCAGCATGGTCTCGATCTCCTGACCATGTGATCTGCCCGCCTCAGGCTCCCAAAGTGCTGGGATTATAGGTGTGAGCCACCGCGCCCGGCCTTTTTTTTTAAATTTATTTTTTGAGGTGGAGTCTCGCTCTGTCAACCAGTCTGGAGTGCAGTGGCACCGTCTCAGCTCACTACAACCTCTGCCTCCCGGTTCACGCAATTCTCTGCCTCAGCCTCCTAAGTCACTGACATTATAGGCACCCACCACCACGCCCAGCTAATTTTTGTATGTTTAGTAGAGACGGGGTTTCACTGTATTAGCCACGATGGTCTCGATCTCCTGACCTTGTGATCCACCTGCCTCGGCCTCCCAAAGTGCTGGGATGACAGGCCTGAGCCACCGCGCCTGGCCTGAGTTAACTCTTTCCTGCACAGAGCTCACCAAGATCTCTCCCAAGTTTGGCACCTTATGACTTTGCAGGAAACGTATGACGAGACTCGAGTGTTTGACATCACACACACATAAAGGATAAAGGGTGACTCTTGGGTGTTTACTCCAAATCTGGGAATGGGTCTTGACTGGAGGTTCGGTTCAACTCATCAGATAGCAGGTGCTGACCGAATTCCCAGGGCCTCCTGGAATCCCCGGGTTTGAGTGATAATAGCAGGTGTACTTTTGCAGAAGACATCAGAAAGAAAGAAATCACAACATGGGCCAGGCATGGTGGCTCACACCTGTAATCCCAGCACTTTGGGAGACTGAGGCGGGCGGATCACCTGAAGGTGGGAGTTCGAGACCAGCCTCAGCAACATGGAGAAATCCTGTCTCAACTAAAAATACAAAAATTAGCCCGGTGTGGCGGTGCATGTCTGTAATCCCAGCTACTTCGGAGGTTGAGGCAAGAGAATCGTTTGAACCCAGGAGGCGGAGGTGGTGGTGAGCCGAGATCGGGCCATTGCACTCCAGCCTGGGCGACAAGAGCAAAACTCCATCTCAAACAAAACAACAAAACAAAAAAGAAATCATAACATGATTTTTTAAAGGAGAAGGAGAGAGGTCCACCCACCCTGATGGTCCGTGAGGACGTGGGCACAGCCTCTGTGTGTGATGGAGACAGTGTCCCAGTTCTCCTGTGAGGTCCACCCATCCTGATGGTCCATGAGGAC